AAACCAACACTCATATACATAAAGCAAAACTCGCTAATATTCTTAGTGTTTTAACAATACGAAGATACTATTCCAATACGCATAAAATTCCTTTTCCTTGCCTTTATATCAAAGATACTTAACATGACCCTTACATCTCTCCTTGAGGTATTCAGCAAACAAAATCAATATGATGGAAAAACTGAGAAACAGGATGGGATTACAAATCCCTTGCTCAGTGAAGGCTCCTATAAAGTAGGCTGGGTTTAGCTCATTGTTTCTTTATTATCTCTCATGGTTTCCTTCATAAAGTGTTAAGAGCTTTTCTAAAGTGATGCTTTCTAACAGTTCCTCCCCCCCATTACTGGATATCAATTTAGAAATGAATATACAATAGGACAATTTTCACAAGATTCTAAATGATTTAACAAAATACATATTGATAAATGAAAGAAATGGTATTCTATCTTTCATGAATTTCTCTGAATCTTTACCACAAGAGTGATCAATTGCTACAGCAAGATTGAGGTCAAAAGTACCATTTCATCACATATTTTGGATTTTTGGCAGTAAGGAATGGTACCAATCCTTGTCTATCACAGACGCATTATATTTATTTTCTAAGGACTGCCTCAGAAAGGATTTTTTCCCAAGCAGGTTCCACACCCAGCACAGACCCCAATACAGGGCTTGAATTCATTGACCTGAGCAGATCCAGACCTGAGGTGATATCAAACAGGAAGCTTAACTAACTGAGCCACCCAAGCACCCCTGAGAGGGTGTTTTTTGTTTTTTTTTTAATTTTTTTCCTTTTTTATTTATTTGATAGAGAAATCACAAGTAGGTAGAGAAGCAAGGCAGAGAGAGAGAGACAGGGAAGCAGGCTCCCCACTGAGCAGAGAGCCCGATGTGGGGCTCGATCCCAGGACCCTGAGACCATGACCTGAGGCGAAGGCAGAGGATTAACCCACTGAGCCACCCAGGCGCCCCTGAGAGGGTGTTTTTAATCAAATTTCAAATAACTACCAGTTATATTACTAAATATACATTATCTTACATATTTTACAGAGTTCAAAGTTAAGTTCTGTCTTAAAGAAATATCCCTATCAGTAAGTTTTAGTTTTCAATACCTGGAAGTTTTTTTATAAATAAAATTCACCGCTTCTAAGCCTTTTAGTTTCAGATTGAGCTGACAAATCACCAGAACTGAACGAAAAATTAGAAGAAAATTTCATTCTAGATCATAATCCAATTTTCAATAATAAGATATATCCAATGATTGTTAACTGTGGCCTTATCTTTCATTAAGTTATTTCAACACGAAGAGGATAAGAGTGGTTGTCTGCACATCTCCATTTTGCAATGTATTACTTTCCTATCCAAATGCAAAAAATGAGATGTCAACCCTCCACTAGAAAGGCCAGAATAAGTTCAAAAAGTATGTAAGTTACTAGACACAAAACAGCATCAGAATATACAAAAATTTTCAAGCATACTGTTAAATAAATCCTATGAAAAGGGCCTCTATGATCTTTTAGAAAATGATTACATCAAGATCACAAAGGGTTCCAAACAACAGAAAATACAAGTGAAAAAGCAATTATTTTATAAGGTAACTTTCATGTTATGTAGTAACTTAAAACTAAAAGACATTTACATTTATATCTAAGCTATGCTAAACAGCCATTATGAGTGAAACCATCTTTATTTGATAGGACATCTTTTATATGTAATCTAATAAGAAAACCTAAAATATTATTCATTAAAGGTTCTATTTCATTAGTCTGGTTTGTATCACTGAGAGACAATGCAAGCCACATTTGTCAATGACAAAACTAATTTTTATTCTTTTTGGTTCCCTGCCACAAATGCCAGAGTCAGATTACACATTATAGATGACTGTGGGATTTAAGTACATTTACACGAAACTGAAAATATCAAAATTCTGGGGGGGGGAAAGTAGGATGCAAGAGTCTTGGAGGGGTGGGGGGACGAAAACACATTGACATCTGTTAGATACTACGTAAGTGATGGTATATTTGGGTGGTGGTTTTCCTTCAAGTACTTCCATACTCAAACTGTTCTGCCTAATCAAAGATCTGCCTAATGTGCGAGAGCTGTGGGGGAAGGGGAGATCAAATAAGGGGTTCAGATGCTATCTTTTCAAGTATCCTGTACTCCAGACTTACTCGATTTCTGAGTATTCCTTCTGGCCCGTCCTTTATTCAAATGGATCATGGACAAACATACATCCTTGTGATCTTACAAGACTACATCTGACACATATATAGTGAAATCAATTTTATAGGTCAAATGCCAAAGGAATAATCTAGTTGAGAGAAGTCTATACTAATACAGAAATTAAGAGTATACTTCTGAGATTAATATTTAGAAATCATTCCAAAAAGAGCCGTTCTTTTTAGAGTTTACAATTCCAAATGCAGTAATATGGTTAGCAAAACATCTATTCCATAAGGTAGATGTGGCCTAACAACTTGAGAGAAGGAAGGAGGCACACAGACAACAAAATATCAAAATTAGTTCAATAATTAAAGTGATGGAGGAAACATGTCAGCTGCAGAAAAAAGAACTGGTTTTTCCCATTCTGGTGCTCTAGAAGATCCTTAAATTCTTATTACTTTGGTTTTAAACGGATTGAAAAATTAAAACTCTAATGGAACTTTCAGACCTATCCAAGCATAAATCCTCAGGCAAAAACTGAAAATCTGCCAAAAAAACAAAAACAAAAACCAAATAAGAGTCTTTAACTATGATGCATTTTCCAGATGCTAATATCCATAAATGGGTAGAAGGTTACGAATTGCTAACTCTGACCTCCCCACCAATAAAATGCAAAAACAGCTCAGCAGTCAAAATTCCCAGGAAAGCAAGGTTTCTTTTTAGTCCTGAAGCAGCCATCGCCTAAGTGCAGCTCCCTGCAGCCAACAGCATTAATGGACGCTGCACTGCTGTCCTTCCCTGGAGACAGCAGCCAGCACTACTCAAGCTTCTCACGTAGCAACCAGAGCTCCAGAGCCAGCAGCTGCTGCTGCCTTGTATACTCACCCCTGTGATCCAACCCAAAGGAACAACCTTCTCCTTACCCCACCCCCACTCCTTACACACTCTTTTTTCTTTTTTCTGGACCAGTGCTCTATGCCAGAAAGGCTGGAATTATGCTTTAAGAACCAAACAATCCTAAGGTCAACCTTTTAGTTTTAAACCAAGACATTTTACCAAAAAAATCAAAATTCACCAAATAAATTCCAAATATCCATTTTTAAATTAAGCCAGCAACGAAGAAGTGAAGATTAAGTTTTCATCTTTAAAAGGCCAATTTCCCACTCTCTTTATAGTCAAATTTAAATTTGCAGCTAGAGACAGAGCCCTGTGTCTTATCAAAGGACATAACTCATTTTTATAAACATGACATTATGAGTAAACCTTGAAGACTCTAATCCCATAACGGGCCAGAATTTGGGGCTACATTAGAAAACTAATGATCCTCCTGAGAAAACTGGAAGAAATCCAGTAAAAAAAATTTCCTGTGTCCTCCAAGAGGCCCAGAAATCTCAGATTATGTGAATATTCTTGTTTTAGTCCTTGCTCATATGCACATTTCACACATCTAAAATTACCACTTACAACTTTTCTCTCAGAGTGACCTAAAATCATTAATGACATAAAATTAACCATCAAGAAATTTTCTCACAATTCACAAACATTCTCCTGAAAATCTCTAAACGCTCAACTCAGCTGGATCCTCCCCAATCAAAAGTATAGCTATGCAACATCTGCTCAACAACAAAAAATGTAAATATGACCTTGATCACAAATATGTCATTTAGAAGCAAGTTGTTCAGTCAAGTTATAAAGGAAATTCGCAGAGAACCTGAGGACTCTTCAGTACCATGACCACGGAGAAAATTGGAGAAATGTACTCAAGTATAGACAAAGCCCAATGGAACCCTGAGCTCTGGGTAAGAAATGAGTTACTGGTGAACACATTGCACAAGTAACATGAGAAAGCAGAAAATGCAGGTCATACACGCACCCCTGACCCAGACCAGCAGAGCTGGCTGCAGCATCAGTATCCTAGGGAAAGACCAGTTATTGCTTCTAAGTCAGACATGCAAAGGCGCTCTACAGAATAAATTAGCATAGAAGGGGCTTTCCCAACAGTTCAACTTTCCCTCTCGTGAGATTCACCTACTTAAAAAAACAGGGCTTTTTCTTACCACCATTCACCTTACATCCCAGGCTTCCACGCAAAGGGAAAGGGAATTCATAAAGCGTAAATTTTTCTGCTTTTAAAGACGTTCTCAAATGATCGCTCTCCACGCCCAAGGCAGGAAAAACGACACAAACTGGCTCAACTCCAGGCTCGAACCCTACAAATTCAATGAGGCTATCTCAGATACTGGGGCATACGCCACTGTAAGCCCAAGAATGTGAAGTGGGGGTGGCGAAGGTAACGTCTTTAATGTGGGAAAAGAGGCAATCATCTGAGATGGGGACCCAAGAACGATACTGAAGGCGTCCAGGAACATTATGGAGGGGGGGGGATAGAGGCCTCCCCTAGATCAGAGTTGTCACAAGGCCGCGCGAAAGGGGGTTGGGGTGGGGGTTAGGGGAGAGGGGGAAAAAAAGTATGCCTGTGCGTTTTTAGAGAACGGCAGGGAGAGGCCTATCAAGTAAAAGGTAAACGTGGAGTAGGCAGTTCCCAGGAAAAGGGGTGAAGACGCGTGGGGGAGGGGAAGCGTCCTGACCCAGGAAAGGCATGAAAAGGGGAGTGGGGTCGACTAGATTACGAAGGCGGCCTCTCTCCCTAGGAAATAGGGGTGCAATGGTGTGTGGGGGGCAGCGAGGGGGATGAGAAGGGGCAGCATCCTCCTGTAAAAAGCCTGGAGAGGGCCAGGCCCACGTCCCGAAGAGCGAGCGCGGGGAGACGGAGGAGGTGACCCTTCCTCCCCCAGGGCCCAGTCGTGAGAATAGGTCTCTCTTTTCTGTCGGACCCTTACCTTGTCCCAGGCGCTGCCGGGGCCTGGGCCCGGGCTGCGGCGCACAGCACTCCCGGGAGGCAGCAGGACTCGAGTTAGGCCCAACGCGGCGCCACGGCGTTTCCTGGCCGGGAATGGCCCGTGCCCGTGAAGTGGGGGTGGGGGGGGCAGAAAGGCGGAGCGAGCCAAAGGCGGGGAGGGGGAAGGGCCAGGGAAGGAAGGGGGGGGCCGGCACTACAGTGTTGGCGGACTGGCGGGACTGGGGCTGCGTGAGTCTCTCAGCGCAGGCGGGCGGCGGCCGCCCCTCCCCCGGCGGCGGCGGCGGCGGCGGCGGCAGCTCACTCAGCCCGCTGCCCGAGCGGAAACGCCACTGACCGCACGGGGATTCCCAGCGCCGGCGCCAGGGGCACCCGGGACACGCCCCCTCCCGCCGCGCCATTGGCCTCTCCGCCCACCGCCCCGCACCCATTGGCCAGTTCGCCGCCAATCAGCGGAAGCCGCCGGGGCCGCCTAGTGAAGAGGCTGTGCTCGGGGGCTCCGGCTCCTCAGAGAGCCTCGGCTAGGTAGGGGAGCGGGACTCTGGTGGGAGGGGGGGCCCGGTGGACTGGAGGGAGATGGGTGGCTGAGGCGGTCTGACGGAGAGATAGGGGTCGCTTTCCCCCGCGGGCAGTAGGGAGTCTAACGTTTGTTAGGCTGGAAGGGAAGGAGGTGGTCAGAGGCAGGCAGGAGTATGGCCCGCCCTGCGGCAACCAGAGGGGGAGGGAGAAGAGCGGAAAAGGCTCGAATCCAGACGGAGCCATTGCTCATGCAGAGGGAGGAGCGCTTCCGGCTCACCTCTTGTCACTGATTGGCCGCTTCTCCTCCCGCCGTGTGTGAAAACACAAATGGCGTGTTTTGGTTGGAGTAAAGCGCCTGTCAGTTACAGCCTCGGGAGTGCGCAGTCGCATGGGCACGCTCGCATTGCTCCCTGGGTGGGATGGGTAGGTAGATGGGGTGGGGAGAGTTGGAGGAGCGGGCGCGGTCGACCTCCCGCGGGGGGTGGAGGGTCAGTGAAAGTGCCTCGGAGCGGGCGTCCTTCCACCCGCCCCTTCCTTGGAGGGAGTCGGTTTACCCGCCGCCGGCTCAGCTTCGGCATCTGATTGGTTGCTGAAGCCCGGGGAAAGGCCCCATGCCATTGGCTCGGGTCCCAAATGAGCGAAACCACTGAGCGGGTCAGCAGGGGTGGCGGGGAGGCGGTCGTTGGTACGGTCCTTCCCGAGGCCGAGCGCCGCAGTGTCTGGCCCTGCGCCCCTGCGCAACGTGGCAGGAAGCGCGCGCTGAAGGCGGAGGCGGGCTGCTGGGCCGAGGCTTCTGGGTGGTGGCGACCGCGGCTCCGCCCCGGGCGTCCGCCGCTTGAAGGACGAGACGATCCGGATCTGCTCTCGGAGTCGCGGGGGTGGGGGAAAGAGCGGGGGTCGGTCTTGTTGGTTTGTGGGAGGGAGGTGCATGTTCTCCAAAACGGCGCGAGCTGCAATCCTGAGGGATCTGCAGTGGAGGAGGCGGAGAGAAGGCCGCACCCTTCTCGGTAGGGGGAGGGGAGTGCCGCAATACCTTTATGGGAGTTCTCTGCTGCCTCCTGTCTCCTAAGGACCGCCCTGGGCCTAGAAGAATCCCTCCCTCCCCCGCGATCTCGTCATCGCCTCCAAGTCGAGTTGCTCCTTCTCGATTGTGGGCGGGACTTTTTTGCCCAGGCTTAACCTGGTGGCTGGGCGTTGTCCTGCAGGGGATTGAGCAGGTGTAAGATTTCTCTCTTCCCACAGACTTGAGTTTGTGTCACAAAGTAATTATAATAGGGGTAGAAGAAGGAAATAGGAGTCCAAGCATTCACCTTGCGCTAATTTTAAGCAGCTAGACTGCGTGTTATTACTACTTAAGATCCTTATTGTAGTATTTTTTCTGTAGGTAAAGGGGGGATGAAAGGCAGAGTCATTGGAGTTTTTTTTACTCACCCCATTTGAGAATCTTGCGGACACCAACAAAGTATAGCATTTGAAATTAAATATTAATCTTAAAATTCTAGGCCCTTTCCTAGCATCCCTTTGGTTAGGGATCTTAGCAACTCGCACTCCTACTTTTAGCGCATTTTGCATTTGTTGTACTTGCTCTTTTAATCCCCAGACATAGTAGTGGCTTTCTCCTCTCCTGTTTTTGGCAGCCCAGTGAGTCATGAAACCAGACAGATCAGTTCTTCTGCCAATTAAGGCTACCCAGTTTGAGGAGAGGCTTCACTCTTACCCTGTAATGTATTTATTCCTCCTTGAATGTTTACCTCGTTTTACACTTTATCCTTTTCCTCAGCTAGGATTCTACCCGTTGATCTCTTCACAGTCCAGATGACCTTGATTACTGCCTTACTAAGAATTGGATATCAGCAACACCTGCGTTTTCCCTCCTTTGAATACCTCTCAATCCATGTTTTTATTTCTGTTCTCATCAGTTAGTAACTGGGCTCAATTGCTGTAATGCTGATAGCTTCCAAACTGGTGTCTCTGCCTGTGGTATCATCTTTTTTTGTTTGTTTAAAGATTTTATTTATTTATTTGACCCGGGTGGGGTGGGGTGGGGACAGGCTTCCTGCGGAGCAGAGAGCCCTATGTGGGACTCGATCCCAGGACCCTGAGATCATGACCTGAGCTAAAGGCAGAGGCGTAACCCACTGAGCCACCCAGGCGCCCCGGTATTGTCTTTTGATCCATCAAACATGTTGCTGGGACAGTTGTCCCAACATACAGATAGGGGTGAAGATGACTGATGCAACTCCTTTACTAGCTCCTAACTACTTATAGGATGAATTCCATCAACGTGAGGGTGATATACAAGGCCCCTCAATGGGCTGACCTTAACAGCTTTTTCATTTGCTACAATTTTTTACGTATACTTCAAACATTACCTCTCCAGTCATACTGAATTGTTTACCCAAATCATAGTGTCATTGCTTTACCTCTTTGTAGGCTGGTTCCTTCTGAAGTGGCACCCTTGGTGCTTCTTACTCCAAGACTGTTAAAACTCAAATACCATCTTCCCTATGATCTTGCCTTCTGTCTATCTTCCCAGAAGCCCGACACCCCTAAAGAAAAGTTACCAGTGCTCTTCATCTGATAGTAGGTTGAATCAGCATTTCTCAGGTTGTCATTGCTTGTTTAAATTCTCCTATTCTGAGCTGCTTGAGGTCACAGGTTCTTGTTAAGTCTTGTACCACCAAGCTCCTAGTGTATTCCCTGATAGCTAGCCAATCCTAAGTAAAATGGAATGAGCAACATGTGGATGTCTTTATAAGGTTTGATAGGTTATTGGTCTCTAAGTTTTGGATGTATGCTTCCTAGTGCTTTAGGTTACCACTGTCCAATAGAATGTTCTGCAGTGATGGAAATGTTCTGCATTTTTGCCAACCTGTATGGTAGCCACTAACCATATATTACTATTGAGCACTGGAAATGTGGCTACTCTGACTAAAGAACTGAAATTTCAACTTGATGTAATTTAAATTGCCACTGTGTACATTGTAGCTGTAGCCAAAAAGTTGTGTTGTGGGTTGCTGAATACTTAATATGCATTGATAATTTTCTCTTCATACTGAGCAGTAAGGAAACAAAACTTGGCCCGTTTAGTTTAATTTTTTCCCTGCTTGTTTAACCTATTATCTATACTATAATTGTACCTAGCTGAAAGCTAAGTTGAACAAGGCATTACTAAAGCTAAACTTGCCTTGGACAACAGTGTGTTAAAAAAGCAAGTGTTGACTAGTTTGGGTTTCAAAAAAGAATGCATAATGAATTTTAGGAAAGTGGGATTTCATTAAACCTTGTAATGGTGACAGAAATTTAGTTATGAATAGGACTGTATCTGATATTAATGAAACCAGCCCTGTATTTCAGTCCTACAAATTTTCATTTTTGGAGAAGCTTGATCAGAGGATGGCAGACCTTACATATCACATCTTGTTAGGAACCCATCACAAAGTAAGTTGCATCCTGATAAAGTATAAATTGATATATCCTAACACCAAAATATTTTTATTTATCTGCTAATACAGCATGTTGTAAATTTGTTATATTTTTTAAAGACAATTGTTTTTTTAAAGATTTCTCAGAATATGAGACTGTTAGGAATCTGTCAGTGCACACAGATAGTTGGTTTGCTATTTAATGCAGATTTCCAGTCCCACAGCCAGAGATTCTGGATCCACTTAAGATGGGTGGGAGGCACTGGACTTCTGTATCATGTTCCTTATTTGCTTCTGATGTTGGGGGCCCAAGAATCATACTGCAAATACAGCCTCCAGGCTATATACCTATTTATTCTACAAAAATGATTAAAACTTCAGAGAAACCTCTAATATTCTGTGCTTTCTCTTTGATTTTTTTTTCCTTTTAAAAAAAATGAATGGAAAAACGAGGAGAAGAGTGGTAATATTTAATAGTTTTGGAAACATGCGGGTCACATTGTTTTTCTTGTAAAAGAGATGTTAAAATACTCCAGATACATTTTTTGAACAAGAGTATTGGCTTTTTTGTCTGTTTTCCCACTGAATGCATTCATCAGGGACTACTTTTGATTCCCCAGTGCCTGTACACAGAGCTGGGTACTCAGTAAATGTTGGTTTTATTAATTTATACGTGAAATTGGTTTTCAAATAATAGCTAAGTCCACAAAACACAGACACAGCCTCCTTTTATGGAGAAATTTTAGGGTCATACTTAACCCTAAGTCGTCTCTTCATTCTATTTATAAAGGAGACTGAGGCATTCCGGTCTCTAAATGCATCTGTCCACTGTTGACCTCTTCCTTTGGTATGTATGAACCATTCCTCTTCCTGTACTTCACTTCTTTGGGCTTTATTTATTTTTTCCGCAAACCAGCTACCTCTTTGAAGTAGAGCCATATTTCTTATACTTTTAGGATAAAAGTATATCAAATACTTGTACTTCCATGAGAAAGTTGAAGGTTTTGTAAAGGCTTTTACATTTTTTTTGCATTTGCAAAATTTGGACCATATAACGTTTCTGCCATATGCGCGCGCGCGCACACACACACACACACACACACACAAAATTTATTTATTTTTAAAGATTTACTTATTTTTAGAGAGCGCATGCAAGGAACAGGGAGCCAAAGGGAGATGTGGAGAGAGAATCTCTGGTAGATTCCCCATTGAGCTCAGAGCCTGACATGGGGCTTGATCTCAGGACCCTGAGATCATGACAGCTGAAACCAAAGGTTGGGCATCTAACAGACTGAACCACTCTCTGCCATTGATTTTTTATGCAAAGAGGAAGTTTGGTACTTTATGCTTTGCAGCAGTTA